TGAACTGCACCGGAACACAGGCACTGATGTGCCACACATTTGGGTGTTGGCGATCGCACTGCGGGCGTGGCTGCGGTGTCAGTGACTTCAATTCAAGTGAGCTGGCCGGGTTGCTTTCCAGAGGCCGAACGCTCTGGCACGCACTTTTTATGGTGTAAACTGTCCCTAAGGGAGAACCAATCCCTACGCTGGTAGCTTCTTGGAGGGTTCAGGAAAAATAGAAGTTAGAGCTCTGAATGTTCTGGAGGTTGATCGGACATTGAAGCCACATATCTTAAAGCTGAATTCCAGGCATATATAAAAGACACAAATCATTGCAGCTCTGTATTCAGTGGTGATAAAATGTATTTTTGTGAATACAAGCAGTGTAAGTACTTACATTTGATATGGATCAACGTCATGCAGTCCCCTGTACAGCAGTTAGGAGCAGATGAGCTTATCAATCTGCTGCTTCTCCTTTCATTGTCCAGTCACAGGCTAGGGGAGGGACCAGACCTGTAATTGTTACATAACCCAGAAGAAAAACAAAATCAGTCAGCTGCCCTGCCAGACAGGGCTGTGCTTGTGCCAGTGATGTGTAAATCTGAGGACTGGATGGACAAAAATGTGAATCCTTTAGCAGGTAAAGCTCTCTATTATGCATTTCGTCCACATATTTAGCTATTTTCCATGAATGCAGCTTTAAAGACCATATCTACTGATCCATAGAAATCATATCTGATGAAAGGTATTGAGCCTGGACACCAATGTATAGGATATCTGCTTCACAGAGTATAGCCAACTAGTTTCATTGATCAGTTGCATAGACATTAGAGGGGACTCTCCAAGTTTTATAAAATTTATCTTGTTTATAAAATTACACTTATATTATTATTTAGGTGTTCATGTAAAATACTAATCAAATATTTATTACAGGTTGCACCCATGACAGCAAGCTTTTATGAAGAAAGCCCAGCACTGCCTACATACTGTTTGCAGACAGACAGGATGCATTAGGAGAGAGGGAGGCGGGCACAGTCGTCTTCTGATCATTCAGCTCTCTGTATTAGTAGCGCAGCTGTTAGAGGCTTCAGAGGTCATAGAGATTGTGTATTTGTATACTCGCTTAGTTTAAAACAAAAATAGTAACTAAGCATTCAATTAACAAAATCTATCCCTGTGTTATGTTTTTAGGTGGTGTCTCAAATGGGGAAAGCGCTGTTGGAGTTTGTGTGGGTCCTTCACTATCATACTGACCCGTGAGTATGGAATCGGGGATTTTTAATTATTATTCATTGGTTACAGCAGAACTTCTTTTTTTTTTAGATGGTGAGAATGGTTAGACACTCTCTGGTGGGGATGAATTAGAAATTGTTCAGGTAGTCCTCATCTGATCAGGCTCTGATAAGTAGTCCTCATCTGATCGGGCTCTGATAAGTAGTCCTCATCTGATCGGGCTCTGATAAGTAGTCCTCATCGGATCAGGCTGTGATATGTAGTCCTCATCTGATCGGGCTCTGATAAGTAGTCCTCATCTGATCGGGCTCTGATAAGTAGTCCTCATCTGATCGGGCTCTGATAAGTAGTCCTCATCGGATCGGGCTGTGATATGTAGTCCTCATCTGATCGGGCTCTGATAAGCAGTCCTCATCTGATCGGGCTGTGATAAGTAGTCCTCATCTGATCGGGCTCTGATAAGTAGTCCTCATCTGATCGGGCTGTGATATGCAGTCCTCATCGGATCGGGCTGTGATATGCAGTCCTCATCTGATCGGGCTGTGATATGTAGTCCTCATCGGATCGGGCTGTGATTTGTAGTCCTCATCGGATCGGGCACTGATCTGTCTTATATTCTGTACAGTTTTGTCAGACAAGGTCTCCTCTTCTGTGTTTCCACCGTGCTGCTGAGTGTTCCTTGGGAGAGGCTTATGACTGACATGGCAGAAGAGGTCTTGGAAATGAAATGCTGGTTAGCAGGTGAGATGAGAGGAATGGTTTTCAATACTCTTCCCTGTCCTTTATGGGTTAAATGTATTACCAAATGGTTCTCTAAAACAGAAATCCATTAAACATGTAAAATGTAAAAAAAGAAATAACCCAGCTAATGTTCCCACATTCTGTATGCCTGTCCCAAGCCCGGGGAAATGGGGAGGGTTGAAGTAAGGCCTGGCGACCTACCTCATAACAATAACTCTCCAAGAAAATCCTATGGAAAGGCTCTCAGGTGTATAAGACATGGTCCCCAAAGTAAGACACCTAGACCAAAAGGTACCCAACAAGCTATGGGGCAAATCCAGTAGGAATGCCAGCTGCTGATGCAACCAATCATAAAGGTTAGGGGGTCTGCGCAGTACAGAGACGCGTTAGATGAGTACGTGGAATGTCAGAGGAATGAATCAGGTTGAATTGGATATTGCCAAAAGGGAGATGCTTGGATTACAAATCGATCTCTTTGACGTCAGTGAGACTTTGAACATGTTAATCTCCTTGGCCTCACCATAGTCCAACTCTGAGTACACCAAACAGTCCAGAAACGTTCACTATTGGTTCACAAATGAAAACATAGAGCAGCCTTCTTTTCTAAATGACACTACTTTCATCAACATGCTTCCTGTGTCTGGGGACCCTTCTGAAGAGGTCTGCCATTAGGAACTATGGGATCAGGTTTAACTGCCATTTGAAGATGACATTGAAGTCCAGGGGTTCCTCAAAGTGCCTGACCCAATCAGACGAGTTTCCTTTGTACAGATATTGCCTTTATTCTGAACAGAGTCTTTCCTGCTTTACAGATGTGGCTGAGATTGACCCCGATGATGACTGTCGCCATCTTGCTGTGAATGGCTTGCTTCTAATGGACAAGTTAAGGAATAACCTTCAACCAGCTCCCCTCGAGTGATCTTCAGTGTGGACTTCTGAACCCAGAATTTGTGAACTGCATTAATAACGATGCTGGATCCATCGCTGAAAATGAACATTCCCTCCAAGGGCCCATTCACATTTTGTTTTGCGGTAACGAATGTGCGTTTAGCTAAGGCAGCCCATTCTTTTTTGTTACTGAAACTCATAAGTATTAATGGGCTCCAAGACTGTAAACACAGGAGTTATCCAACAGTCAATGTGTTCCCTTACAATGTAAGGGAAGGGAGGCTTTCCTATCAAGGTGTGAATAAATATATCTCTACACCCATCTGCTTTGTTTCCAACATGAACACAGAGACATCACTGCATGTAGGGCCCCATTTACAGGCGCAGTAAGGAGTATGGAAGGGGAGCTCAGACTAGTGTCTTTATACTGTGCGGTGTCATGTGGACTGCAGGCAAACGTAACATTGCATCTGGTTTGCTGTCTAGTATTGTTCACATGTAGGCAAAGCTGTGTGTATCAGGTTGGATAGTCCTGATGTCTGCTAAATGCCAATCACTGTTACAGGGCAGAGCTGGATGAAGAAGAAGCTGCATGGATGGCCATGTAACCTATTTTTTCCTAACATGGGTGCTCGCTCTATTTTGCTCAATGTAGGCAGTATTGTGTATTTGAAGGGAAGGCGTCTCACACATAGGGGATGATTTACTAAAAAAGAGTGGAGAGCATGAAAACTTTCAAAGTGAATTTCCACTTAGCTTAGTGAATGGGGTGAAGCTGTGCTGAGACAGATTTCATTAAGAAGTCTATTCTACATTTTCACATCTTGTACTGTAAAGGAGCCGGAGGGACCCCCCTTCATCAGACTTGGAATCCTCAAAGAGAAGTCAATTCAGACCAAGTAGGTCACGCCAGATTTCCTCACATCTACTCCCATCAATTGCCTCGATTACTTTTATATCCACCTCAGCCCAGATTTAATTCTTTGTTGATTTAACCCTTTCGCTGCCACAGCCTTTTTTGTTTTGCTTTTTGCACACATGTTATAATCCACATTTTAGGCCTGCAAATTACTTAACCCTCTCTCCCCCCCCCCCAAGCG